AAATTAAGAAATTGAGTAATATATAGTACTAAAATTTGAATTGTAATCTACAGTCTGATACCAAAGTTATTGACATAAATTCATGAAATAGTAGTTCAATAAAATTTTTAATGCGAGTCAACAAACAAGATGACATGGCCTTTCACTCGTGACCCATTTTGAAAGGGTTAATCCAAATGACAAAAAAACTAAATACGGTCCACCTTTATTCTTAGGTGAAGCTGTGGTAAAAATTTCAGATCGATAGCTGATGTGACTTTTTGCATAGCCATGTGCAAAAATTTTGGTACAAATTGAGCAGTTTTTGTTGAATACCTTTGCACATGTGGCTTATATTTGGACCAAATTTGACAACTAATTGTAGGTTGTATAGATCTATCAGTGTACCAAATTTGAAAAAAATCCATGAAAGTTAAGTATGTTTTTCAGTTAAATAAATTTTCCATACTCTCGGTGTATTGCCTTAAAATTTGGTATGTGAAGTAAGGGTCCAGCAGAGCATAACCACTGAAAATATGTGATAGTTTGGGTTACCACAGTCTAATCTACTGAAAGTGGAAAATTGCTAAACTATCACTCCTGTTAATAACACACAGTGTGTCCTGGAGGTTGTTTTGGCTGCACTACTATGTGTCTTGATCACAGTGAATATGATTTCGTGTTACAGATGTGATAGCAGTTAATCACATGATACAGAATGAACAAGCCAAATTTATGAAATGGATACCATGTTGAGTAGAGACTGCAACAACGATAAATAATGTATAATCGTAATAACATTTTAAATTTATTATGCAGTTAAATATACAAAGGTATATAACATTGTGTTAATCAGTTTCTGTGTTTTACTACAAAATGTGTTTAAAAAGGACCATCACATAAGCTACCACTTCCCTAATGTACTATACAGTTATTGGCAAGTTGCTGCAAGTTTTCCAACTGTGTGAAGATGTTAGTAGCTAAACAGATTCAAGCTGTCTCAAAATTCAAAAAAGCCTGTGTTGGCAGATACACTATATCTGGTTGGAGCCAGCTTTTGCGAGCTCAGATGGGGTCTCGGTCTGCTCGCACCATAGTGCCAATGCATCCAACCCTTTGGATATTTGCAAGTAATAATTGACTCGATATTTGAGAATAACATTGCAAATAATTCTAAAGATAACTTTGTTATTCTCATAGTTGTCTCCTGAATTAAATATAGGTTGTCATGGGCAATTTTTTAGTGGCCACACGGACCACCCAAGAAAACCTTTTGGGTAGTCTGCCGGCATTTTTGGTGGCCATTGGCGAACAGACCACCATTAATTTTGAGCTGTGTGTTGATATCATTTAGTACAAACAACACCATCTTTAGTAGGGGTTTTCCTCTCTCTTTGAAATTATCTTTTTTAATTCCCCATCTTATGCATCTTTTCATATGATACATCTGTGTTCCTTCTGCATGATTGAGTGATACTATGTTAACACTGCTTCTATGTGAATCTTATAAACCACTTGGCAAACAGTATTACAAAACATTATTGTTTCATTCAACAAAGAATTTCATGAGTTAACGTAATTTTTAATTTGTAACCATGCAATTGGCTCTACCAAGCAAGTTGCAGTTTCATTGGCTGATATATAGGGATTATGTAGATTAGTGTAGTCTTGTTCATTGTTTTGTTGTGTAAAATGTTTAGCTTTTAAATATGATAGAAAATAATCTTGTCATTCCAGGTTAAGTGATAATTTTTATTACAAAGTAGCCAGCATCATCTTTAAACAATATTATTTTTATCAAATCTCAAAATGGTTTACATACTAAAGACCAAGGTTGTTTAAAGATGACCCTCATATCAGGTTATTGATGCAAAGGTAGGGGAAACTTATTCTAATAAGAACAAAATTGCATAACTGGACCAACATATGATTTCATATATAAGGATGTGGTGATATACAAGTTGATTTCTACACATACACCTGTAAACAAAATACTCACCTTCTAAAGGCATGTCTTTTCTATATGTAGTGGTATGTTATTTTATATTGTAACTTTACCCTGGTGTTATTTGTTTGATTTCTGTCTTTAGTGTTATTGTTGGATTTAATTTGTGTGTATAGTTCTATGTTACTTAATGAAATCCTTATAACACTTATTTTGGATTGAAAAATCTGCAGCAGAAGGAATTATGTGTAAAATCAAAATCCTGTACAAGGTGGCTATAAATGTAGGATTAAAAATAAGAAGGGAATGGGGATAGTTTTCACTGAAACTATATCATTATAGGAGCTGCTTCAGTTGTTAAACAAATTTACACTTCATTTGTCTGATCTGCATATATCTTCAGTATAAAGCTGCATACAGAACCCTACATTCCTTTCTACAGTGCACAATTAATATGTAGAAACACAATGTCTTGTGAGAGTTTACTCAAGAAATAGAGACATTGCTGATAGGATATTAACAGCAGGAGCGGAAAGCCATTGAACAAAATCAAAACCCATGTCTATGATAGGTACCAAATCAAGCCAGGAGGGATGCTGCCACACCCTCAGCACCCCTAGTTCTTGCACCATTGTTTTGTGGGCATATTGGCTTATACTTTACTAAGACAGGTAATAAATTTACTAAATATTGAATTCTGAATGAAAAACGTTGCATAGTGTATTTTTGTTTAATTTGTGAATATAAATTGTACCTGTGCATATTGTAGGCTATGCAGCATTAAGCACAGCACCCTGCTTAGTTTTCAGGAATCTCTCTTTCCCTAGTTATGAGCACACAGCTGTACTACTGGAACAAACTATGAAACATGCAGTGTTAAAGTATTATGCAATTTTGATGACCTATGGGTGCCATCCAGCAATAATCCTTTTTGTAAGCTGACCTCAGTTTTAACATTTTTCCTATACAGAACATTATCTCCTCTTTAGCTCGAGAATGCATGCAACATTTAATCTTGTGCTTGTTTCCCAATGAGCGATACCTCTGTATGTTTAAATACAGTTTTACATTAACCTTTTAACTGGACATAGTCTGTGAACCCGAGTGTCTGTAGTTTGCTTTTTGTTGCCACTTTGAGGTCATATTTTCTCTTCAGATATCTGAAATAAAGTAACTTGAATATTTAATTCTCCACCAGGTCACTTTATAATTAGCTTGTGTAAAACACAGAAGATCTCCTTGTCATCTAATTGTGATTAATAGTTTTTTATCTTGTCTGGTGTCTCTTTCTCTTATTACTCGAAAATATAACTTACACTTGCATTTTGTTTTTTAACTTATCACTCAAAAAGTTGACAACATCCTAATTGTTCATGCCTGTTTCAGAACTGAAAATGTTGCAATGATTGCTGGACTTGGAAAGGTCAGTTTTTGCCTTTAATTTTTGAAGAATATAACTTTTTAATTTAATAATTTTAACAAGTGTGTTGGTCAAATTAAAAGAATGGAGTATAGATAGGCATTAATATTTCTATCAAATAACTCCTTGGTATTCATAGTGGAATAGTACTGTGCAAGATTTGTTGTTTTTTTCACTATTAATCTGTTGTATTGGAAAAGATTTACTAACTGTAGTTGTGGTTAACTCTTGTTGTTTATGTGTGGTAATGGAAACACACTCATAAATAATTTTGGACTTGTTGAAAATGATTGTTTTTATTTTATGTCAGTGCAAGTGCAGTATAGTTTTCTTTTTACTAATAAAGACTAAACTATTCGAGTCAAATCTGTTACAATTTTTCTGCAATAAAACTTGAAATAAGAAAAACACAATGGTACAAAATAAGCCTGTTTTTGTTTTATAGGCTGCAGAATTAGTCGTCAATAATCTGGATACATTCTCAACACATATGGAAGATGTTCGAAGCTATTTAGAAACTCAGTTAAAGGTGAGCCTTTGATTTTGTACACGTAAGATCACATAAAGGTTTATTGTATGTGTTAAACTATATATATATGTATTTTAGCTTCATTTATATATGATTTTTGTTTTGTTTCAGTTAAATTTTCAAAATACTTGTCTACTTAAATTGTACATAAAACCTATTAATTGTCTTGAATTGTGGGACTGGTTGTGTTTGAATTATTTTAAGTTAGCTAATAATTTGGACATTTTTTACCACTTTTGTTGTTACCCTTGAGGAGCAATATGGCTGCTATAGTGTGAGCTGTTAATTTAAATTTATTCAGAATATTATCACAGCATAAACACCTTTATAAAACCTGTTGATATATAAGCTAAAGTAATAAAACAAATGTTAACCGGTACATAATAGAGCAAGTCAAGTTTACCTGTGACTTAGATTTTACCTTCTATCTTTGTGTTGTGAACAATGTACACATTGAATTGCATTTACCAGCAACTGTGGTATAGTTTTACACTCCAATGTTGCATTGTTAACAATGTACATATTGAATTGCATTTAACAGTAACTGTGGTTTAGTTTTTACACTCCAATGTTGCATTGTTAACAATGTACACATTGAATTGCATTTAACAGTAACTGTGGCTTAGTTTTTACACTCCAATATTGCATTGTTAACAATGTACACATTGAATTGCATTTAACAGTAACTGTGGCTTGGTTTTTACACTCCAATGTTGCATTGTTAACAATGTACATATTGAATTGCATTTACCAGTAACTGTGGCTTAGTTTTTACACTCCAATGTTGCATTGTTAACAATGTACACATTGAATTGGCATTTACCAGTAACTGTGGCTTAGTTTTTACACTCCAATGTTGCATTGTTAACAATGTACACATTGAATTGCATTTACCAGTAATTGTGGCTTAGTTTTTACACTCCAATGTTGCATTGTTAACAATTTACACATTGAATAGCATTTACCAGTAATTGTGGCTTAGTTTTTACATATCCACCGTGTGTTGTTAACAATTTACACATTGAATAGCATTTAACAGTATTAACTGTGACTTAGTTTTGATCATGTAGTGAACAATCTGCCTATTGTAGAGCTTTTATCAGTGTTTGCTGTAATATAATCTAACAATTTATTTAAATTTGTATTTGTATTTAAATGACATTGTTGGATGGTTAGTTGAAACAGTCGTTACTATGTGTATTTGTTGGATTTGTTTTTAATTTAATGATTCAGTAAAGACTTTAAACTGGTTGATTTAGATCCCAATACATCAGTACTTCAGTAGATTTGTCAGAATAATGAGAGTGATGTAAGAGGCATCTAAGGAAAAGTCTATGCATATTTTCAGAGAATTATTTTAAAATTCTGTTTTTAATGCTAATTATGTTCCAATTTTAAGCTTTTGCTAAACTGCCTGTAATCTTGTGTGTTTAGTAAGAGCATAAGGTTTAAACTGCATTACAAAATGAAAAATGTATACCTACATCATAGTATAATAATTGAAGAATAAGAAAGATCTTACCAGCTTTGTTAATCTTAATTAATTTCTTAAAGGTAACATTTGGTGAAACTATAAGATTCAACAGTCAACGCTATCAAGTTCCTCGACTTCCTAATACTGCTAGCATTGCTTTTTTGGATGAGAAATTAAGTGGTATGTTATTTTTAAAACTTATCCCATAATGCTTCACTACATGGTTTTAAATATTAATTCATTGTACTTTATTCAACAAGGTTTTCATTGCAATTTTCCTTAGCCCCAAACTTTATTTATATATATTTTTCTCTTTTCTTTTTTCTACCAAAGTATGGTACACTCACGTGATATTTTCATGCCTTCTTCATTATTTATGTGCTGAAGAAAACAAAATCATGATTATATTATGAAAAGAGACAAGTTTGTGTACCTCTTCCATTCAAAATTTATACAAAAATTGAGAAGTGGTCTTTGATCTTTATAGCTAGTTATCATAGCAAAATGATGTCTTATACATACAGGTGTTGCAGAGATACTAGAAACCTTAGAAAATATGTCAGAAAATGTAGTTTCAATTTTTTCTTGGAAGTGTAAGATTATAAGATGTTTTATCTGCTACAAGTGTAGCAGGTGTATATGTGATAATGATGGAATATCAGTTTCTGAAAAGTTAGATCACAAAAAATACAAAAGTCCCATCTAGTGCAAAAGATAAACAAAGAAAGAAGCAGAAGATCATAAAAACCTAACATACAAAGAAGGAATGACAAGAGCAGCAAATGGCATATCTATAATAAATAGTTATCTCCCCAGATACCAACCTGTGGTGACTTACTTATGGTGTTTGGTATGAAATATATCGTGGAATGTTTTCATTAGAATGTACTTCCCACAAATATTAGGTTAGATTCTCAAGTTTGGATTAATATTGGGAACACAATACTGGTTTGGTAGCATTGACAATCCAAGTTCCTCATCTTTGACCGTGTCTAACTTTGTGCAGAAAACACTTGTAGCTCCATATCTCGTATATTTTGAAGTTAAAGGTAATGGACTATAAAACACAATTGCTTTTAAATGTGTTTTTGGATTAGAAGATTAACTCATTTCTTGTCTTGCCATTTAAAACCAACATTTTTATGCAGATGAGGGAGACATCCATAATTAAAAAATTATTGGTGTTTTGTAAATCAACTGTATAGAAAAATTTAGATCAAGAAACAAAATTATTTTCAGTAACAGAGTTCATATATTCCTGTAAATAAATTTAATGACTTGTGTAAAAGTTACTTGTTTGCAAAAAAACTGTTAAAATTCCATCAGTGTTTGATTGTCTGTATTTTTTTTTTTTTGAAAAATACCAACATTGATTTTTGTCCATTTAAATTGTTTTTTCCCAAGTTCCATTGGAAGGACAATTACAAAATCTATTGATAGTTATTTTTGAGGTATGGTTATGTTTTTTAGTTTAAATATCATTATTATTATTTTTTATTAAACAATATATAACTGTTATTTTCATGATTAATTCTACCTCCAGAAACATTTTTTACTGTCATCACAGACATGGTTTAAAGCCACAAAAAAACCCATATTTCCGTTGTCTTCTAGAAATAGATTGTCTTGTCAAATGCATTTGTATCTGCCATATTAATGTGAAAGTCTGTAAGAAATTTAAATTATATGCAGTACCATTAACTACTAATGAAATAATTGTTATTTATACAGGTCAAGATATTTTAGCTAAAGCAACCATGTTACAAGCAAGTACTGGAGCAGCATGCCATAAGACAACCAAGTGTGTTAACCTTTTTTTTCGTTCTTAAAAAGTGATTTGTTGTTGTGAACGTTACCATGATTTTGTAAGCATTAACAACTTTAAATATGAGACGTTAACTTGTCATCAAGAAATGTTAATGTTTATCACTAAATTGCAAGTACATTGTTTCGTAAAAGATTGCCTAATATTTTTGAGGACTTTAGACATTCAAACAACACCACTTTATCATGACATCTTTGAAATTTTCATAACAGTAATTTTTTTTGGATAGTCAGATTGTTTTACTCAAGGAACATTAACCCTTTCGAGATGGGTCACGGGTGAAAGGCCATGTCATCTCGTTTGTTGATTTGCATTCAAAATTTTATTAAACTACTATTTCATGAATTTATGTCAATAAGTTTGTTATCAAACTGTAGATTATAATTCAAATTTTAGTACTATTTATTACTCAATTTCTTAATTTAAAAGCAAATATTAAAAAACACACAGATAAACATCAATTTTTGTGTGTCACGTGGTATGTTGAATGCAGCACTGGTTCAAATTAGATGCTTGTGAAGTCAAAATACTACGTCTATAGTTTCATACGAATTAGAAACTCAAATTAAAGATATTGACAGCTAGAATATAAAATAAGAAGGTTCTTATATTTTCTATTTGCTAAGATGTTGCTCATGTAATAAATCAAACAGAGTGGCACCCTGCCCACATTTTTCCATTTTTGTAAACACTCCCTTATATACACATACTTCTATATATGACATAAATAACTAATTGGAAGCTCAGAATGTCCCCCTAGTGGCTTTCTCAGCCATATTAACAAGCATTTTATTT